GTTATATCAACCCAAACAGTGACGCTTAGAATGAGGGAGTTATCCAGGAATCCAAATATTTGAGAATCGGGTGGGGGGGGATTGGTGCCCCCCCTTTTCACAGAACAATCTCTGCACTTATGCAAAAGAAAAATACCAAGATCAACCTACCAATTCATTCAATGATTCATTTTGCTTCCCCCCTGTCTCCACCTCCCACCCCCCTTACCCCACTTGTTAAGTTTATAACCAACTCTGGGCCACAAAACACCCCAACATGTGCACACAAGGAGTCCCAAAATTAGTCTGGCACTAAATCGATGAAAATGCATCAGATATGCTTCAAATCAAAGCACCCTGTTAATTTTCTGCCACACACCACACAAAATCCTTCTGCAGCCGTCAGTCACTCTTAACCCAGTCCTCCAGCCACAAGCCGTGTGGATTCCTGGGGCCTGTTCTGCAGAAAGGAAAATGACAACAAACCAAGTTGGCGACCATCTAGAGACCCCAAGGCACTCGAGGAGCTCTGTGGGGCTGTGCAAATGATGCCCGGATGCTGGCGGGGTTTCAGCTGTCACAGAGAGTGGGCCGGCTGGGCCAGACTCCTAAAGCCATTTGGTAGCCCTTGCAGCCAGGACCTGAAGTGTAATTGAGTCGGCTGCAACTCAGCATCTGTGTGGCTACTCATGCCCTGGGCATCTCAGTCCTCCCAGAAGCCAGGCCAAACTGTCACAGCCCTCATGCCTGCAGCAGCCTTTACTTTTTGCTCCCTAACCTTCTCTCTGAAAAGCAGACAGGAGTGCGCCCTCCCTTGCAGCGACAGCAGTATCCAGGTGATAGGGAGGATGAGTGGGAGGGTGGGGGGCAAGGGGGTCGCATTCATCTGCAGGACACGGGATTTGGAGGACCAGCTCTGAGCTAAGAGCTTGGACCCGGTTTGGAGTTGGAGCAATAAGGCTTTCCAGGGCACGGTCTGAACGCGCGCCCTAGAGGGAGACCCCGACGCTCCCAACCTTGCAAAGTGTTTGCAAATCATAAACACTACTTTGCTGCTGGGATAAAACCCCCCAAAATATGCGCAGACAGGATGTAACAAGTGTTTCAGGAGAGAAACACGCCTGAGTCCCGGGGAGCTGGGGGCAGAGTGGAGCTGTCTGGGGGTTCCCGGGAAGCCCCCTCTCAGACCAGAGAGACGCAGCACCCGAGACCCCCGCCCCTGGCGCCCTCGGTCCCCAGTGCGTCGGGCCGCGCCCCCCGGGGCTTCCCGCACTCACCACTCGGCCCGAGAACCTCTCGGTGGCCCTCTTGACTTTGCCATAGGTGCCTTTGCCCAGCGTCTCCTGCAGCTCGTAGCGGTGCTTCAAGTTGTGC